TAGTAACAAAACTTCTTGAAAGAAAGATCTAGGATTACCAACCCTACTTCTGTAATTAGAGATTCTCTTCTGTTACTGTATGTAGGCTTCCGTTCTACCACCTCTGAGAAACTCCCATCAAATTCTCCTCTGACTTTCAAGTTCAAAACTGACTTCCCTGTCAGCAAACCCAATGGTTACTTCTCGGTTCTCATCGTTCTTAACATTATAGTACATCTAACCATATTGACCATACTGCGCCAGAAATCACTGGTTCAGCATGCCCACACTCCATTTCCCTCCTACCTTTTGGATCTTCGGAGCCCTCTGAGCACTTGTGGGTGCCATGTTTTGCTCTCCCTTGACCTTTCCATGGGTCTCCAGCTTCACCTCCCTAACCTGCCAACATGATATATGCATAGGCATATCCAGTAGCACCTTAAAGGTAACATGTTCAGGGCCAGGGAGATGGCTCAGTGGAATAAGCACTTCCTTGGCAAGCGCAAGGGCCTGAGTTCAATCCCTGGTTCCAAAAAAAAAAAAAAAAAAAAAAAAAAGGTAACATGTTCAAACAGAGCTCTTGACTTCTCACTCCTTCCAATAATTGACTGTGCCTCAAAGAATGACACAACTATTGTGCCATTTTACACAAGCCAAAAACTTAGGGCTCATTTTACACAAGCCAAAAGCTTAGGTATTCCTCTCTTCTTCACACCCACATCCAATCCATCAGTAGGTTATCTTAGTTTATTTGCCACAATATCTCAAACACACCATTCCTCTCTATTTTCCCTACTATTGTAATACCAAGCACAAACATTGAAAAACACCCAGGATTTGGAAGCAGATTTATTTAAATCAATGGGCACTGATCAGGATCGTACCTAGAATATCAAGCCTTGATCTCTGGTGATCTAGGGTTTATATGGGATAAGTAAGCAGGAAGTACAGAGGCAGAGTGGCTTGCCAATTGGGAACTGGTTCTTACAATGTGCATCACAGTGACCAGCCATTTCTAAAAGACAGGAGTGACCACAAAGTCCTACTGATTTGACACCTAGCCACCTCTACAGACTCTCAAACATTTCCAACAACTGTCTCTCTGTGTTCCACATCCAGACCACCTGGACCTCATTCTGCTCCTAAACAAGACAGGCTTGATCAGTCTTGCTCCTCCCTCTGGAGGAAGGTATCCCAGCTACCACTCTGCCTGGACTACTACCTCCCAAACATCACATGGTTGATTCCTTACTGTAATACTCAGGTTTCTGGTAAACATGACCTTCTCAGCTTCTCCCACCCATAACAGCCTCATGTTTTCATCACAGCTTTTTTTATTTCCCTAAAATTTCTTCTTTTATTTTCTGGTTTATTTACCTATTGTATTCTTCCCTGCATTAGGGTGAAAGTTCCATCTATCCCTTGCTCTTGCGCAGTGCCTGGTACAGAGAAAATGTTTCATGTTTGTTGAATGGCACACTCTTCTACACCCTCTTTTGCATGTTTATTCTTGCTTAAAACAGTCTGTAAAGCAGGCATGGTGGTGCACTCCTATAATCCCAACACCCCAAAAGCTGAGGCAAGAGGATCACAATGAGTTCAAAGCCAGCCCAGGCTACATAATGCTCAATGCTACAAAAAAAAAAAAAAAAAGGACATCTTGACAGGCCTGCAGTGGTAGCCATTGTTCTCTGGGCTCCACGATGCTGCCCAAAGGCAACAAGAAGAAAGATAGCAGAAAGTCAGCCAAGAAAGACAAAGACCCAGTGAATGAATCTGGGGGTGAGGCCAAAAAGCAATAGTCCAAAGGCAAAGTTCGGGACAAGCTCAACAACCTGGTTCTATTTGATAAAGCTACTTATGACAAACTCTGTAAGGAAGTTCCCAACTATAAGCTTATTATGCCTGCTGCGGTCTCTGAGAGACTGAAGATCCGTGGATCACTGGCCAGAGCAGCCCTTCAGGAGCTCCTTAGTAAAGGGCTTATCAAGTTGGTTTCAAAGCACAGAGCTCAAGTTATTTATACCAGAAATACCAGGGGTGGAGATGCTCCTGCTGCTGGTGAAGATGCATGATGAATAGGCTCAACCAGGTGTACATTTGGAAAAAATAAAATTTTATTACTAAATGAAAAAAAAGCCACTTTGAAACATTGGCCTTATGCTCATTTTTTTTACATCGAAAATTAAAAGAGGCTCCCTCTTTTTTTCTTTAAACTGTTCTTCTGATATTCGTTCTAGCAGTACACTATCTCAGCCAAACATGAAGCTGTATGGTAAGGCCACAAACATCAACAGGACATGATCCATACCCACAAGAAACTCAGACTTACTGAGGCAGCAAACATCTTAATAGATGTCTGTTAATGTCACATGGTGAGTGAGAGATAGCAATATGATAGCGGAACATGGGAACCCCAAGTTTGAGGCATTGGAAATATCATCCTAGAGAAAATAACGAGATCAGAGGCTTAAAAAGTGAGTATAAAATTATCTGTGAGAGGGGATAAACAGAAAACAAATAAACAAAAAGAAATAGAGGTGGAAATATAACAGTGAACCACAAGTTCTCAACTCTGCAGAGGGAAAAAAAGGACAAGGCACAAACAAGATTTGAGACTGGAAAACAGGTAGTAACCAGACAGTGACAGACTGTGCTTTAAGGAGTCTGAACTCACTAGGCAATGAAGTTATGGAAATCCAAGAGGAGGCCACCAGCATGGCCAGTTACATTTTTCTGAGTCATTCTGTGGCTCTACAGAAGACGTACCTTAGGATGTTGGGGGTTGGAATGATCAGGAGAAAGCCTGGTAAGAGTAGTAAGGATTTATTAAAAGAGAGAGGAAAAAATATTCAGAATCCCCCCCCAAAAAAAATTAGGAGGTAAAACAGATAGGATTTAGTGACTATTAGGATATTGAAAAAGAGGGGTGGAGAAAGGGAATGTAGTAGATTGCCAACTGGTGGTCAATTTGCTACACCCAGTTGAACTGAAGTAATGTGGTGCTGTGTGTGGGAGGCCCATCAGAGGACTGATGTCAGCAGCATAAGAGGCTGTTAGTGACACTATCAAGCTCCTCAGAAATTTCAGCTGTGGCCAAATAGCACTCTTGGACATCTAGTCAACAACTATGCTTCTCCTAACAGAATTTATTTCTTTCTTCCCCTGACCAAACTAGTGCTCCTTGGGACTCCCAAAACCTCAGAGGCTCATTTAATCCAAATGTGGTCCTACGTAGTTCCCCAAATTAATAATATGATGTAACTCTGGTCACTTGACAGTTTACAGGCAAGGTTTCCACGCTTTTAGAAGATGATTTTCTATTTTCTATTCTATATACTCCTATTGCTCTCTCATTGCTGCTAGTAACCTAGAAGATGAAGTGGAAGGGAGCAGGGGGGAATGTTATTGATAGTGTACTGAGTCCCCAAGATACCAATAGAGTCATTCTTGTCTCTGAACTTAAACAAAATAATGAATGTGTTATTTCCATTGCTTGGGCTTGGTATTCTGGTCCATGATAGTAGAAACACTCTGATAAACTCACATTTAATGTTTCCATGATATGGTGCCAACTTTTCTATGGTATGTCTACAATTCATCTACACACACTCTACTTCATAGTTCTCCAAGTACATCTTGTGCTTTTGAGCCTCTGAGCCATTTTGTATGTACTTTGGACAAGATCTTTGCTTGTCAAAAGTACTATCACTCATTAGTTACTTAACTGCCATTTTCTCTGGCAGTCATTTCAAAATTTCCTGAAAAATTAAATGACCAGCACTGAAATCTGGCAATGTGTTTCCCTCCAGCATTTACCTCTCCTTTTTTTTCAATATTTTTTTTAATTTTTATATTTCTTTATTTTAATTTT